TAGTGGTACATAAAAATGGCAGCTATTAGTATTATCATCATCATTTATAAATTCTTCAGGTCAGTAGATTAGTTTTTTCTCTATTTCTTCTCCTACCAAGGTCTTATGATAAAATGTGTTATTAACTTGGAATTTGGGAAGGAGTATGTATTTTATAAGAATTAGTTATACTATACATTTATGTAAATTATATTTAATAAGAAAAAATTAGATATTGGGATTTGAAAGACACGAAACTTCTTAGTCATTTATTTTTCTCACTACAGAGTGTATTAACTACTACAAAGCTAGATTTGGATTAGATGTTGTATAGACAACTTTCACTCAATATATCCAAAAATGGACTCACTCTATCCTTTCTCACTTCCTCTCTCCTTCTCATACTCATTTTTTTTTTACCTCATTTATTCGACATACATTTATTGGTTATCTACTATTGCCAGGTACAATACTAGGGGATGGACAAGCAATCATGAATAAGATAGTTACAATACTTGTTCTCATACAACTTACAAACTAGCTAGTAAGACACATTCAACAAATGAATTACAGAAGTAATTATTCAAAATAGAGTTGATGAATGTGATGAAGGAAAGCTCAGAATTTCATACAAGTAAATAACATGCAAATAAGATTAAAACCTTTCTTAGTGTAGAAATTGATGGGAAGAGTCATGGATGCCGATCCTGAGCTGAGACATGAAGGGTGAGCTAGGGGTGGGGAGGTTTCTAAGCAGAGATATCAGAATTTTCCCCAGACTTAGCCACAAAAAGATATATATATATATATATATCTTTCCAAACACAATCATCTTCCCAGTCACCCAGGCCTAAAATCTTCACATTGTCTTTGACACTTTATTCTTTTTTGCCTCAACAAATAATCAGTTTCACAATTTTCTTGATTCAGCATCTTCTTTCCTCTGTTCCCATGAATAACTGAATTCCCATTCTCACCACATGAGTTAAGTTCTTCTTTACGTTTTCCCTACAGTTTGATTTTGGGGTGGTTTTATTTTCCCAAACTCATCTTTTCACCTTCAGTATTTTCCCCTTTTGTAGCCAACCATTCCTCCTATATGCTGCTGCCAGCTAACAACCTGGAACACACTTCTGATATCAACTCAGAGAAGTTTAATGGCATGTCAGCTTATAAAATAAAATCTGAATTCCTCAGCATGCTATTCAAAGCTGACAATGCACTGACCCCCGTCTCTGTTTCAAAGCTTGATTTTCAGTCCTCCCTTTTATGTCTTCCTGCTGGAACCATACCCTCCACATTCTAAAGCTTTCCCACAATCAGGCCTTTGTCTTGGACTCCCTTCCCCTTTTCTCTTTCTTATCTCCTTAAGCCTGTTTTTTCTCCATGTTCTTGCCCAAATATCCACCCTCCAGGATAATTTTACATCTTTCCATTGAGGGTAATTTTCCTTTTCTCTGAATTCTCAATATGACTAGATTTACAATATGATAGCCTTTGTCATCTCCCCCACCGAGTAGAACAATTTAGAGAGAGGCAAAGGTGTAGCCCTTAATGAGCATGAACTCTAGAACCAAAATGCCTGGATTCAAATCCTAGCTCCAACACTTCCTACCTGTGTGACCCTGAGCACATCACTTCAATTCTCTGTGCCTCATTCCTTTTCTGTAAAATAAAACTCCCTACCTTATAAGGTAGTGTGAGGATTAAGTGAATAAATTGTGCCCAAAAATGCTTTAGTGTCTGGCAGTAATACTGTATAAATATTGGTATGATCATGCCATTATTTTTACCATTTACATGTAATATCTACTCTTCTAAATTATAATGAGGGCCAAATCCACATCTGATGTGTTTTCATAACTTCTAAATCCCTTACTGCCTCACACAGGGTAAATTAATAGTGAATGTATGAATTAGAATCACAATGATTAGTGAACCCTAATTGGACATTTCAAGTAGTTTATTTTGAAGATAACATTTTCTTTATTAAATTAACTAAAATAAATCATTGAGCAAAAATTTAATTCTATAAATTTTCTGTGTGTAAAGCACACCGAATATATGGAGAAGTGTGCCTTCTCTGATTTTACATTTGATTCAAGGAGACACTCATATAGATAACTGTAATATAAGGTAATATAGAAAAAGTATATACTCAAAAAGTGATTATAGGAATTCCAAAGGATTGGCTAGAATGATCAGATAATAATTTATTGAGATGATATGGAATTATAGTCCAAGGAAAATGGAACGTTTAAAACACAGCTTACATAAATCAACTCTCCTGATAATATTAGCCAATACTTATTGAACATTCACTATAGCAGACAGTGTTTATTGCATTTAAACTTCAAAACAGTCTCATATAGAAGCATTGTTGTGTTCATTTTGTAAGTGGGAAAACTGAGGCGTAGCAAGACAATGTTACATAATTTGTCAAAGTCACGCAGCTTATAAAGAAGAAAGCCAGGATTGGAACTCAGGTGACTGGATTCAGAACCTGTGTTAACCATCACATTGCAAAATTAGAGTTTTTACTATTTGCTGAACTGTTTCTAATAATACATTTTATTAAGTTCATTGGATTTTATTTTTTATTAGTTTTTAAACTTGCATCTTATCTATGGATGCTAAAATTTTTTTATTTCATATCTGATCAACTCAGTCTTTCATTTACAGTAAAAATTTCTCAAATTCTTCATGTGTGAAATAAAAGTTTGAAGCTATATCAGTAGTCCCCATACAATTCAAGAGCAATTCTTTCTTTCAAAATAAAAAGTTATGCCAATTTCTATGTTATAGTTGTTCACCTTCTCTTATTCACTGTTAGGTGTGCAGTAGAAAACTTCACAATAAGTTACAGGATTTTGCAATCCCCAGAATCCACTGTGCTAGAATAATCTCTAAAGCCATTTCTAGTTCTCAACACTAGGTCCCTATCTCTCTAGTTCCTAATCTGTCATGTCTCTCTGCCATAAGAAGGAATGCATATGCTCCCTCAATCCCTTAAAATTCTTTTAAGTTTTCCCTATTTGTTTTCCCCCTAAGCTTTCTCTTCTTTCCTTAGCTCAAATTCCTTAGTAAACAATACAACTTACTTTGCAGAACTAATAATTAATATTCGTCTATTGTGAAAGGAACTCTGTCAAAAATACATGAGCTAAAATAAAGCAATACAAAGTTACAGAACTTAAACTTGTTTTCTGAAAATAGTTAATAAAAGAAAGGTTTTTATATCAATTTTCTGGTAGATTAAATTCTAATATTAAATATTTACCTGTGTGTTCAGCAGATAACTAGTGAATTAGAAAAATAAAAATAAATACCATATATACACAAAGGAACATTATCTTCTGTTCACACTTATGTTTACCTTTCTTTCATTTATTTCTGACACTTTTGCTCAGTATTTTTTCTACTCCTTGAGAATTTAACCCTAATATTTACAATACTTAGTTTCATATCTTCATATAGTAGAAACATTTAAGAAATACCAGCATGGAATTTTAGGGAATATCATTCTTGGTACTGCTGGAGACTGGACTTCATTTGCAAGACATCAGCAAGAAATTGTCAGCACTCAACCCATGTCCTAAGTTATGCTTTATGTTTTCCAATATTCAGATCTTTGGAATGCAAAGCCAAAATAACACTCTGGGTTTTAGGAATTGGTATATTTTTCTGTTATGATGTCCTTGCTTTCAACAGAATCAGTTCAAGCCAGCTGCGTCAAGCAGAAAAGTATAAGCCTACATTTTCAACAGCATTAATCCTTTGGCACTGCATAAGACTCCTTCCACAGGCCAAACCAATTCCTATTCTATGCGGGCTGGCTCAAAATCAGGGGGCACACTCTGGGTTTTAGGAATTGGTATATTTTTCTGTTATGATGTCCTTGCTTTCAACAGAATCAGTTCAAGCCAGCTGCGTCAAGCAGAAAAGTATAAGCCTACATTTTCAACAGCATTAATCCTTTGGCACTGCATAAGACTCCTTCCACAGGCCAAACCAATTCCTATTCTGTGCTGGCTGGCTCAAAACCAGGGGGCAGCATCTGAAAGGTAAAACATGCAGTGCCTTGCTTATCCAGGGTGGGGCAAAAGTAGGTTTGCAGTTGTGATTACATGAAGCAGAGTTAATTCTTGTATATTATTTGTTATTGAATAATTTATTAATTGTATTATTTCCCATACTTACAACTATAAACTTACTTTTGCCCTGCCTTGAATATGCCTTTTGGCCATGCCCCGGAATTGGCCATCATACAAACAACTATAAACTTACTTTTGCCCCACCTTGAATATGCCTTTGGCCATGCCCCGGAATTGGCCACTTGTTCCTTTGTGTCCCACTGAACTTGCAGAGGTGTTTAGCACAGCACCTATGCTACTTTAATGCAGTTTCTTGTTTATATGTCTCTCCTCCCTTTCGAACTGCCTTTGTATCCACGGCATCTAGTATAGTTCCTGGCTCATAGTAAATGCTTCATTAATGTTTGTTGAATGAGAACTCTGGAATAAGAAGCAAGAAGTTAGCAAAGTGGTTGAACCAAGTACTAAGTGAAGTAATAATTATGGAGCGGTGGACTGATTGGGGGTGTGCCCTACAGGCTAATCCTCACAGGGCTATTTCACACCGGGGATGGGTGTTGCCAGAAGTGTGGAGGCAGAAATATGAAAGGTTTCAGATGGAAGACAACAGAAACTAGCCTGGTTGTCCCATCTTGGAGAGTAAAAAGAATTAAGTTTCGACATACCAAAGACTTAGAAACAATTAATAGAAACTGCTAAAAGTTAGAATTAAACAATTTAGAATTGATTTGAAAGCAATAGGAAGATTCCATAGCTCTCTGACTTGTCCAATGAATGATCAAAATAATATTTTAAAGTTTTAATTAAATGGGTGTGTACTTATGTTACCATTTATGTGTATTAAACATCAGATTATGAAATATTGATTTTAGTCTGTGGGTCATCAGTTGATCCTAAGGTTTCTTTCTTTCTCTTCTCATCCCGCAGGTTGTTATTTTATACTTTGAGCCGAGCACATTTCGTTGCATTCTCCTAAGATGGGTCCGTCTTCTCGGTTTTGCTACTGTTTATGGAACTGTCACTCTCAAGCTTCACAGGTTAGTATGTTTTTTTAGTTTTCATCATCATGGGAGGATCAGAGTGTTTGGCTTAGCATGTAATTGCAAGCTGTGTCAGCCAATTAAATGGTTTAATTTCAAGGATTTAATAATAAGATGATCTATATTTTTTATTTTTGAGGCAATACATTTAGGATTCCCTAGGAAAATATTTAATATAGCTGAATTTGAATAGCATGCTTTAATCAAATGTGCCATTGGTATTGGAAAGGTTAATTCTGAATAAAGATAAGTTTAGAATGAATGCAAAACGGTATGGACTAGCTAAGAACAGGAGTAAATACAGTTAAAATAATAATGCAGGTGCAGAGCTACCAAAGAACCTTATGTAATACAATTCAGTCATATGCTTATTTGACTAAAACTACTGTCCTCCGTTCTCAAGTTCCCTGACCCGGGGTAAGCCTGCTGATATTCTGTGGGTCAAATTGAAGAAAAGAATAGTGTTTCTGGATTTCCTCCTTGACCAATATGTTCTAGTAAATTGGAGAATACAGTACTGTAAATTACCTTATACTTCATTTCAAAGCCACCTACGTTTTAAATTGTATATGACAAATACGAGGAATAAAGAAGCAATAAAATAAATTACTATCCACAAAAACTAGGGCTGGCTGGAAATGATTCCAGGGCCTCTCCTTGCCCCTCTTTCCATGTTTTCTCAATGTCGTGGTGCCAAAAATCTTAGGACAGAAAATGTTTCTCCTGGAGGATAAAATTGTAGTTCTATAGAGGAAACCCTTTATTCTGATCGGCTGTAAAGCTGATTCGACTACCACAATAAGCCACAATATGACCATAAGTTTTTCTCAATAAAAGTATTTTAATGTGGATCATCCCACAATTTATCTTAGTTGCCATAATATGTGTTATATTTGTCTTTAAATGTATCCCCTTCCAACTTTCTTTAAATGCGATTGTGTACTATCTACTACATACTCTCCATTTTATTTCCTTTTGAAGAGGGCTGTACTTATTTACTGGGAATGCTTCAGATTATCTTTTTGGAAAAACTGTAAATATCCTTAACTCTCAATATATCAAATAGTACAAAGAATGTGGGATTGGATTTAAGAAATCATACCCCTGAAATCTATATAATTGTATTGACCAATGTCACTCCAATAAATTCAATAAAAAAGTTAAAGAAATCATAGGCCCCTATTTCCTAGAAAAGGAAAAGATTAGAGCAATCTCTAATGTTCTTTCTGATGCCCACTTTATTCTTTCCACTTCACAGCACACTTAGCTCTTTTGTCCTTCTATCCTTCAAGTGCCTACCGATTTCCATTCCTCACATGAAAGCTATTTTTCAACTGGTGCTCATTCACAAAAGAGAGAAATTGACCGCTTAAAATAGACAATAAGACTTCTAGAAATTCTGAATGAAGGGGTGGCCTGTTGAGACATGAAAATGACCTCTGTCCCTATGAGTCTAGCACTTAGCATTTATTGGGTTTGCTTATTTAATTATGTTCTTCATGTTTACCTAATTTATTTTCTTTTGGAAGTGTGGGTCTTACCATTGGATCCCCAGAGCACAATGACTGACACATAGGAGGTACTTAATACATATCACTTGATGAGTGAATGAATAAAATATCAGTTGTAGACTTAGAAGCTGCTTCCATCACTTCTCTACACATGTAATACATCCCTATTCCCTTACCTCACTATATGTCCTCAAGTAACTGGAACACTATGATTTGCAAGATGCTGTTTGGTGGGATGCAAATACAGTATTCAATAGCAGTGAATCGTGTAATGAGAAAACTGCTTCTGTTCAGGTTCTCTTTCCATCCTTCTGATTATTTCCAGGAGAAAAATTAGTGTGGAGCTAGTTACAGCCGTGGGCAAACTATGGCCCGCGGGCCGGATCCGGCCCGTTTGAAATGAATAAAACTAAAAAAAAAAAAGACCGTACCCTTTTATGTAACGATGTTTACTTTGAATTTATATTAGTTCACACAAACACTCCATCCATGCTTTTGTTCCGGCCCTCCGGTCCAGTTTAAGAACCCATTGTGGCCCTCGAGTCAAAAAGTTTGCCCACCCCTGAGTAGGTCTTTAACACCTGCCAAGCAGTTGCTAATCTTCCTTTGCAATCAGGAACAGATCAAGTCAGACTCAGAGCTTCCCAATGCAATGCTATCTAGATGAAATTTATTAATTTTGTTTCATTGTATTTATTTGCATAGTTATTTTCTATTTATAGGCTTTCAGTTTTTTATTGAAAGTAGCAATATAGAGTTTTCTTTAAAATATTTTAAAGCAATAAATAAAAGTTGTAAAGTATATTATATTAGCTGGTGTGCAGATATAGAGAGAAATCTTGAGGAGGTAAGCTGAGGATTAGAATTTAGGAAACTAGATTATTTCATCATTTTTTTTTGTTTATTTTAAAGACAGTAAATAATCTCTTTTCTCTCTGTGTGTGTCTAGAAGTCATTGCAGTGAAGAATTACCCAATTGTTGGCTTAAATCGAGTAGAAACTCTTTCTAATTTAATGAGCTGAGTTATTCTTATCCTGTCAGAACCATATGGCTTTATATTATACTCTGTTCTTTTCTACATTGCTTAAATTTATCTGATTCTTATATTAAGTCTATTAACTGAACAGTCAGCTTTTCAGAGGAATGTGAACAATCTGATGGAAGTGACTGGCTGAGCCAGCTTTGTATCCCCTGTTCTTAATGATGCACCTTGCACCTCTTATATACAGTTGACCCCTTGAACATTACTAGGGTTAGGGGCACTGACCCCATGAAGTTGAAAATTCAAGTATAACTCTTGACTCCACAAAAACTTAACTACTGATAGCCTA